ACTTCAAATAAAGATCTAGATGTTATGAAATACAGTGTTAAAAGCAGTATCACAGAGAAAAAAGTAAATGTCAATTTCCAAAATCAAGAAAATCTTAAAACATTAAAAAAAAAATTGTAATCAAAAGGGTATTACCATCATTGGATAAATCATACCTGGACTTAAATAATGCAATAATTTACAATGACAGTTAAGGAATCAACTGTAGTGGTTACACCAAATATATTAAAAACACAGCAAGTAAATATAGACATCAACATGAGAAAACAAAATATATACAAATATATGTACTTATCAATAATAAAGTCCTTCTTCCATTTACCCATTTTATCTAGCACCAAAACATATTGATTTGCAAAAGAATAGATTTTGACCATGCAACACTATTAGATAGGAAGTGATCTCTATCACCCTACATATATTATCCAACTTTGGAAGAAAATAACTTATACACTATGCAATATATCATCTATGACTCCTAACACACCTGAACTTCAAAGGTGAAATATTTGTTGAGATTCTTGACGATCATGACGAGGTAAGGAAGCTTTATTCCCAATGTCTTCTTCGGGTCTGCTGGACACGTGATGTAGGTGGTGCTGAAAGAGATTTTCAAGAATTAAATTTTCTAAATCTTATTTTCTTTTCTACTTACAATTTTTTGAGGTATCATTTTCTCCTTGTTACAATTTTCTTCTTACCTGATGCAGATCTCAATACCCCTGCCCCCCCCCCTTTTTTATGTTATAGCTCTCCAATATATATAAATTTTTGTGAAACTGAAAAATAATATTTTTTTTTATTGCATTCTGCTCTTTTATTGAAAAACTAAGTAAAAATCTAAACATAGAACACATTGTCATAGTTCCCTTAATATTTCTAAAAGTAATGAGCTCTCATCTTCATGAGTAAACATCAATATTCTATGGCATAGACTACTGATGGCAGGTAAAAAAAATAATAAATAAATTAATTAATTAAATAAAAGAATTTAAAAAAAAAAACTAATTACCCATTTCTGATTTGCCACTTCTTTCGAATCACAAGAATTTTCCTATGAAAATAAATCTATACACTACTATCTGGTGCTGTGGACTCAATTATAAATATTATGCTTCTATTAGCATTCTGCATTAGAGAAGTTAATCTATATCACCTTTCCTTTGAATACCAAGAATATCTGAACTTGACAAAACAGTTCCTTTCAGAAGGATGTGTGGAGGCTAGTTTTGCTTTAGATATACATATATGTATGATAAAAGACCTGCAGAAACCTGTGGACCAACCATATGCAACCAGTGATTTAACAAATATCATTTGAGTATAATGTAAACTCCACTATATTATTTGGGTAACCGTAATGGGTAAAGAATCTCCACAGAAAATTTGAAGGGTGGTGGGTTTCTTAAGTTCATATGTTAAGGATCCTGCCTAAAGGATATCTAAAATTGGTAAACCTCATTTTTTTTCCTTTTAAATAAGCATGTCTGGACAAATTAAGGGCATAGGGTTTACATATCCCTTTGGCACCAAGCAATTGTACTGTCCATAATAGATTTTTTTGGTTAATTTTCTTTACACAGAGATGACCTTTCAAGCCAAACACTTTAGTCTCCTGGCCTCATCTCTTTCCCTTTTTCCCTAATATTTTGGGGAAAAAAGCTTACATTTCTACACTGTCACTAATATCACTACTGTTTTTGTTGCTATTATTAACACTCTTATTAACTCAATGTCATTAATAATAATAATAGTAATGAAAAAAAAAGGAAATGTGGTACACAGGTGAGATCAGGTTGTCCTATTAATTGATTCACTGGTGCCTATAGACCTCTGGAACATCTATGTATGAACAAATTTAATAAAAGAAAGTCACAGAAGACAGAAAAAAGAAAAAAATATAAACATATATACATATACATATATATATATATATATATATATATATATATATATATATATATATATATATATATATATAAAATGATACTAATCTTCTAGTATGAAAAAAGTTACTTCAATATGTACATATAACAAAATCACTTTAGAGAAGAGTAACTTTTCTTATCATATGGGTTATTCTGAATGAAACAACAAAAAACAAGTATACAAAATTACATGTTAACGAGATATGCACTTGCCAGTGATTGATAAAATATCAGTATCAACTACTACATTGCTTCTCCAACAACCAAAGAATAAACTGAATTTATTACACCTACCTTACATTTACACCAACAATTTCAAGAACGAGAGACTGAATGTCATTATCAGTTATCCTCTTGATGTGACCATTACGGACCTATAAAGAAAAAGAAATATTAATATTGTTGGCATTTCTGCAAGTAAAATGCAGAAACCTAAAGCTAAAATATGTCAAATTAACCTACTGGCTGAGGTCGAGGGTGATGGAAATGAATCGTCATGAAAAATTTAGCTACGAGGTAAGGGGATAGGAATGACTCAATATAAGAAGCTCTTGGAAGAAGATTAGACTCGG